ATAATTAATTATATTATTATTATAAAATTATGAGGTCTATGAAAATTTGAGACATAAAGTGCTTGCTTTGGTCATGGGCGACTCAATATCTTTAAAGGCCTAAAGCGTTTAAATATTTAAATGAGGTCTTTTTTATTAAAATTAAAAAAATTACCGTTAATTGGAGATCATTAAAGACATATTACGTTCACTGAAAATACAAAAAATAATTAGGAATTATCAGCATTATGAGAATTGGGAAACGATAAAACATAGAGATTTATTAAGCACATAATTGAGAAAGTGAGAAAATATGTAATTTTATTAATTAGTTTGACTTTTACATAAGTGAGAAAGTGAGATAAATAATTGAGAATTAACAGGAGGTAAGAAGTGAGAGAAAGTAAATATTTAATAGACACTTAATTTTAAAAATATTTCATTAATTATTTTAATTTTTAGATAGTTTTAATAGAATTAATTATATTCTATAAAATTAGGAGACCTATAAAATTATGGGGCATAAAGCAAGGGATTTGGTGGCTTTATGCTAAAGCTGGCCCTGGCTTTGGTGATCTTACCCTAAAGCCGGTCGACCATCCTCTTAGAGCAATCGAATCCCTTCATTTATAAGTCATTTCCCTTTCCCAGTAGTTCAATCCCTTCCACTATAAATCATTTTCCTCTCTAAGTAATCCAATATTTGTTTCTCCATAAGCTATTTATCTCTCCAAACAATCCAATCTTTGATAAACTAGCGAAGAACCTTTCTAAATGAAACAAACTGATCAATATACAAACAATCTTATTTGTCCTTTTATAAGCCATTTTACGCTCCAAGCAATCAAATTTCTTCCTTATTTTTTCATAAGCAATTAAAAGAGTTTAGAATCCTAATGAAAACAATAAGAGTAGTGCCATTTTCCTCCCCAACAATAGAAAGAAAATGAAAAGTCTTAGTGTAAACAACAAAGGAGGAACCCCTTACGATTTCTTTTCTCCCAATCAGCACTCTGGGGATAAGTTGTGTTCTCATAAGGAGTTAAACTGTTTATTTTATCTAATAAAATTTTAAAAATATCTCAAATGTGAAAAAATAAGTTAAAGAATTGAAGGTATTTTGATAATTTTATTAAGTGAAATTAATGCTATAATCTCATATGAGAATAGAATTTATCCATTAGATAAAAAGAAATCATAGATTATCATGTGGAAAAGTTGAAACTACAATGAATCCAAGCGGAGTTTACCCTTATTTCTATTAATGAGTAAATTGCCTCTTTCACTCTAAAAAGTTTGAGTCTCATGCATTTTGATCCTCACCATTTTAAAAGTCACTTGTGAATTCATATATTTTTGACACAGTGATGAAACAATCCTTTTGTTAATATTTTCATTTAATCTGGTGTGAAGGACTAGTTGCTAACATGTTTGGTCCATGACAAACACGCGTTAACTCATATGTTCAAGGTATAATATTTAAAAAACTTCTTAAACAATTCAAAAAAACTCAAATAAATCTTTATACTTTTATTACGTTCAATCAAGCCATTATATTTTTATTTTGAGCCAAATAAGTGTTTATATTTTTATTTTAAGTCAAATAAACCCTTACAATTAACTTAGTCAAAATGCTATTTGTCATCCTATGCCACATGAGTTGACGTGGTTTGTTAACATGTTATAATTGATAATGATGTGACATGCTAATATGCTAACATATTATAATTGATGATGACGTAACATGATAATATGAATATGTAACATTTTTCATTTTTTTTGAAAAGCAAGAAAGGATTCATTCCACAAAAGCTTTACAAAAGACTACCACATTGGTAGTTAGACAGCCCTTACTAATAACAAAAATTCGATATGGCTTTTGGAAAAAACAAGTAAGAACAAGCAGTTAGTTGCCTATGGGATTAAATCCATTACCTGCCCAAAAAAAGATAACTCCTTATCAAAAATAACAACATAGCAACGAAGAAAAGAAATGCAGCAACAAAAATAGCAAAACAACCCAATTGTATCAAACAAACCAAAAAAAGCAAAGGACAACACAACAAAGGTTTGACCATGACAAAGAATTTTAGGAATTATAGGATGAATATTAGCAATCCAAGCAAAACATAAGCAATAAACCATAGAACATCTTTTTCACATTAGGAGCAAGATCATTAGAAGAAGCAAAAAATAGATCTTACTCAATGTCAATTGCCAACCCTTGTTCAAAATCATCACAAGTCTCCAGCATATTTGGAAACCTTTTAGTACACCCTTTAGCAAATTTATCAGTTGCTCTATTACCTTCCTTAAGCATGAAATAGATTAGCAAATCTCCAACCATGTGTTTAAGACTCTCAATGTGCAAGATCCATTATCTAACTCTCTGTAGGCATCATTTGGATTTTTTTATCCACTTCACAACATTCAAAGAATCGCTTTCAATGACAAGTGGGTAGTTTTCAAGCCAAGCAAAGGAGACAAAGATGATAAAGGCATCTCAAATGGGGAGGGTTTCGACAAGACTCGAGCCCTTAATGCTAATGTTTTTAGAAAACCTGGCCAGCACCACTCCATTCTCACTCCTTAGAATGCTTCCGCAACTTGCATCCTCTGGGCTACAATTGATAGCCCCATCAACAATGAATTTGAGTTTCCTCCTTTATGGACATTTCTATTTAGTGGCTACTCTCCTCTTATTTCCTGCATTTTGGATAATCGGACAATTTGGTTGTCTATACACATCCAAAATCAACCCATGTTGGTTAGGCCAGTTAGCATTTACCCATGTTGCGATTCTCAATTGTAGGAGGTCCCAAACTTGTTTACTATTCCAAGTTGAATTTTGGAAAACCATATCATTATGGAAGAGCTAAATGGTCCATGGGATGGTGAATGAAGTTAGACCCTATATTCTTTTACCTCCAATAATTGGGCTTGTTGCATTCCATACCACCTTTAGCTCTTTTATACCTCTTGGCATAACCTAAGTTAATCCTCAGCTTCGACACCATGAGTACCAAATGATCCAAACTTTATCGCAATTAACAAAGAGATGGTCAACCATTTTGATATAGCTTTTGCCAAAGCTACATAAGGCATTTTTATACTTAATAAACCCCTTCTCAATAACTAGGCCTTAACCTTAATCCTTCCATACATGAGCTGCAGCATGAATGCTTCCTCCTTGTGGGGGCTATGCCACCTCATAGCCATTTCCACATGATAGCTTCATTCCTTGGTTTTTCCGTACTCATCACATTTTTGTAGTAAGCTTTGGGAGTATATGTCCCACAAGGTGAAACTTTCCGCACAAGTTCATCTTTCATTTCCTTATGAAAGTGGAATTCTTCAATAACTCTTAAGAAATTGGTGTGCTAACCCATCTCCCATCCCAAGGATGTCTCCTAAGCTCAACCCTCCACACTTATTTTTCCACTTCCTAAAGCCCAAAGTCTTTTATT